ACCATCTTCCAGAGTCTAAGAGCACTGTGCTCTCTCTTGAGTGACTCGTGTGAGTCTTCTATGAACTACCTTCAGGTAGCTGTACTGGGGGTGTGGGCTACTGCTGTATCTTCCTCTGGTTTCACTCTTATCCTAGCCGAGCAGTGTTCCATTATTTGGAATTTGAGTTGAATAGCCCTGTTATGGGACGCTGGTCGGGTTGTTGTGGGCCCACGAGGGTGGTGTTTCACTGGCTGATCTCTGAGTCTTTGTGGTTTGTTTCACGGTGCTTGGAGTGCCTCAATTGGTGTGTTATGTTTCCCTTTAGAACTGGAGTGCCTAGGAGGGCATGTGGGTATACCCTCCTTTGTGCAGAGCACCATAGCTTTCAGGGGGAATTACCCTAGTCAGAGAGATTGCCGTGGAGTTTGGGTGGATGTTCACACGGCAGCATGGAGCACCACCGGTAGTGGGAAGGAGTTCTTCCAGTCACTTGTAGGGCCTCAGGGTTTAGGATGGAGTAACCCCAGTTGTTTGAAGGGGAGAACCCCCAGCCACTTGGGTTATGAAGGAGGACTGGCATGATTTCCCCAGCTACATGTAAAGCCAACAAATGCAGGCGGGAGCTCCCCCAATTGGGGCTTCAGAGTTGACCTAGGTGGAGGGGAGTGGCTTGTGAAAGGAAAGAGAGGGAGAGGCAAAGAAAAATAGAGAAATGAGAAAACAAAGATGAGAACCCACCTATCTTGTTACATGTATGCCTTCCTGTCACATGTATCTTTCCCACTGCAGTTGGTTTTAACTGTTTCAATTTTGTTTTGTTTTTTTCTTTTTCTCTCTTTTTCCTCTTCTTTCCCTCTCTCTCCTAGGACAATTCTGCCAACCAGTGGTGAGAGCTACAGCATGCCCCTGTGACAGTGCTGCACACGGCATGGAATGAGGCTCAGTTCTTTCTTTTTGTTCTTATTTCACTTTTTCTTATTTTCTCTACTTCTATCTCTTCTCTCTTTCCTGCCACAGTCTCAGCAGATTCAGTTTTCCTTTTTTGTTATTTTCTTTTCTAAAAAAATGTTTTTACTTTTGTTTAGCTTTTGCATTTTTTTGTGAGTGGGTGTTAGTTTACTAGGCATTTGGGGGAAAGATAGAAAAGCGAGAGAATAAGGAAAGAAGAAATAGAGTGGTAAGTAAGGAGATAACTGAGGCTTGGTTGTCTGACTTTGGGGCTGGAAGAGTTCCAACTCTGCCTCAAGGTAACGGAGTGGTGTGCCCGCTTGATGTAGTGTCCCACATATGCTTGGTGGGATTACACTCTAAGGCAAGATCACAGCAGTGGCCAGGCATCAGTTCCCACAGTGGTGTTCAGCGCTGGAATTCACTGGTATACCTGCCTTGTAATGTAAGTAGCACTAAAGCGGGGTGGGGGGTGGGATACAGGATGTTTCCCTCAGCCCCGTGTAGGGTCCCATGACAGGCAGGACCTCCCTAGCTGTGTGTAGAATCACTGAGAGGGAATCTAGGCTTATTGTCCTATCTAGACTGCTCAGAGGATTTGTTTGTTTGTTTGGTTGGTTTTAGTTTCCCCTGTCCAGCTAAAATAGAATTAAAGTAAATTGCTTCCCTGGCTCTGGGCTTTAGAGCTGTGCTCAGTTAGAAACTTAGACTTGCTCCTGAGGGTCTTTGTCATGTTGAAAGCCTCCAGGCCCTGTACCTAAATTCTTACATTCCTTAGTGAGGGCTTCTTCTCATGCTGATTTATGTTAAGGAACCTATTCTAC